CCCCCCCCCCCCCCCACATACACACCCATACATACCCTATAACGTCATTGATTGTTTCAAAATGAGAGGAAGAGTCTGTAAATAAACTCAGGGCTCTTTAAGAGTATTTAACAAAGTTAGATGATAATAACCTTAATTACTGTTGTTAAGTACTGTCCTTTCCCAAGGAGTAGCAGGTAGGTTTGAGCTGCTGACCATGTAGCTTTGGAACTTTCATTCTTTGTTTTGAAATAATGAATTCATTCATATTTTGAAATTCTTATTTCAGATATTAGTTTGGAAAGAACTCGATTATGGTTCCATGACAGAAGCTGAGAAGCAAATGCTTGTTTCTGAAGTGAATTTGCTTCGTGAACTGAAACATCCTAATATTGTCCGTTACTATGATCGAATTATTGACCGGACCAACACAACACTGTACATAGTAATGGAATATTGTGAAGGAGGCGACCTGGCTAGTGTAATTACGAAGGGAACTAAAGAAAGGTAATAAAATCTTTTAAATGTCGGCCAGAAATGGTTCTTGTTTTATTTAGGTTAAGTGTCTTGTTTTCAGAAATGGGATGGAGTGCTATTTTAGTAATTTGTAAGCATACACTTGTATTTGAGTCTACTGTATGAGGGGGCTTCAAACAAGTTTGTGGAATAATTAAATGAAAAGTTAATTCCATTATCTTTTAATTCAACTTCAGGAAAAACTAGATGATTCACTTCACCCCATCTTTGTCATGAATTTATTCAGAAATTTCATGTTGTGTAACTGCCTTGGTTTCAGGCAGTACTTAGATGAAGAGTTTGTTCTTCGAGTGATGACTCAGTTGACTCTGGCCCTCAAGGAGTGTCATCGACGAAGTGATGGTGGTCATACCGTGCTGCATCGGGATCTGAAACCAGCCAATGTTTTCCTGGATGGCAAGCAAAACGTCAAGCTCGGAGACTTTGGGCTGGCTAGGATACTAAACCATGACACAAGTTTCGCAAAAACATTCGTTGGTACACCATATTACATGTCTCCGGTAAGTATTATAGAATTTGGATAGTTCCTTGAACATCTTAATGCCAAGCATTAATTTCTTTCTGGTTATTTATTTATTTTTTTTTGAGTGTTACTTTCAAAATGAAATTGCTAGGTGAAATTATGAAGTTTGTGACTCTTTATGGATATTGCCTCATAACTTTTAAAAAATTTGAACAAAGGTCTAAACCACCAATATGTTAGCATATGAAACCTGAGCAGATAAAGAGATAACATGATTATTTTTTTTTTAGTAGTTCGTGAGCATTTCCAAGTCATTTTAAGTTATATTCACAGAACTCTGAAAATTAATGGTTTTGTTTTTGAGTAAGATTAAACATGGTCAGAACAGTGTCATTTTCTCATTGGATAAGATTCTAAATACAAAGCTTTTAACATAAAGAAAACTTGTTGAGAAGTAGTTCTTGGAAAATTTGACACCTGCACATTTCTTTTGTTCCCTTTTCCAGCTGCTCTTGTAATCCGATCTGTCCAGCCTCCCCTAAGGCATTGGTTATAGGGCATAGTTGAGTCACCTGTTGGACTTTGAAACACTAGTCAGCCTCCTGGAGATTTTGGTAGTTGTCTCTGTGCATCTGTTGAGAATAACAGCAATGGTAGACTTGTACAGTAACCACAATGGAAATAAATGGAAGAAGGGCAAACAAAGCAGTCTGTATGTTACTGCTGTGGTTTACATGATGGACGAAGGGGGAAAGATGAATAATGCACTTAGCCATTTATGGAACCATTTAACTGTAGGGTGGTGGTGGTGTGTCATGGAGTCTGTTCTGACTCATAGTGACCCTACATGGGGTTTCCAAGGCTGTAAATCTTTATAGGAGCAGAAAGCCTCATCTTTCTCCTGTGAAGCAGCTGGTAATTTTGAACTGCTGACCTTGAGGTTAGCAGCCCCACTCATAACCACTACACTACCAGAGCTCCTTAAATGTAGGGTAGCTACATGTTATGGTAATATTGTTCAGAAATTTCCTCTGGCTGTTGTAAAATGGAGTTTCTAGATTATCAGTGTTTTGAGGGTTGAAGTCTTTCACATTCACATTAAACTATCAGTGTCTCACCTATGTTGTTGTTAAGTGCCACTGATTTCGGTGCTGACTCATAGCGACCCTGTAAAGGGTTTCCAAGGAGCAGCTGATGGGTTTGAACTGCCGACCTTGCAGTTGGCAGTTCAGTGCTTACCCTACAGTGCCATACCATGACCAGTCTAGCCTGTGTTGTTATTAAGCGCCATCAAGTCAGTTCAGATTCATAGCGACCCTATATTGGGTTTCCAAAGAATGACTGGTGAGCTTGAACCAACAACCATGCAGTTCAAACAGATCTTGCAGTTCAGGGTATTAACCCACACCACATCAGGGCATACACTCCTCATCTCTCTCTCTCTCTCAATAGATAGATAGATAAGTAGATAGACAGAGATATCGATCTCTTTCTCTCTATATATAGATATATATATGTAAGGAACTCTGGTAGCGTAGTGGTTACAAATCGGGCTGATAACCTCAAGGTTGGCAGTTCGAAACTACCATCTGTTCTGTGGTAGAAAGATGAGGCTTTCTGCTCCTGTAAAGATTTGCAGTCTTGGAAACCCTGTGCAGGGTCACTATGAGTCAGAACCGACTCCACAGTACTTAACAACAACATATATACATATATTCATACACACACACACACTTGAGTGGCTATTACCCTGCTCTGTCTCAGGTAATTTTATAAATTTTAAAGCAAAGTTAACTCCTTATCCTTTTCTTTCCTTTTTTACCTGCTAAGGAACAAATGAATCGTATGTCCTACAATGAGAAGTCAGATATCTGGTCACTGGGCTGTCTGCTGTATGAATTGTGTGCATTAATGTAAGTATGATGATGAGAAATACCTAGTCTTGGTTAAAATGTTTGTTCCCTTCACTGGGTTCAGCTCTTTGAGCATTCATGCTAATGGAAGCATGTTTAAGTCTGAAAGAATTACACTTTGAGTTAAAATTAAGGTAGATGGACAGGTTTGAATTGTAAATAAAGTCTGTGAGGAGGCTTCAAAAGTTGATGGAAAAATTCCATGATCTCTTCATTCACTTTTCCATGATCTTTTAGAAGCACCCTGTGTTGCCACGAGCCTGGGTCTTGGCTTCCTCAAGCTATTTGACTGGTTAGATGCTTCCCTGCTAGACTGATGGTTCTCTCACGGGAGAACATGTAAGTCACGTGGGTAGTGCACAGCTGCTGCAAGGATATGGGAGAAATGAAAGAAAGCTTGAGGTCTGAGGAAAGAACTCCAGTTCTTCCCCTTTTTAGTTCTTTTATTACTTTTTCCCCTTCTAAATTATTCTGTAGATCAGTGGTTCTCAGCTAGGGGTCTCCTTGGTTGTTCTAACTAGGGAATGCTACAGGTATCTAGTGGGTTAAGGTCAGGGATACACCTAAACAAGAACAACAATTATGTGACCCCCAAACGTCAGTCATGTGTAGATTGATAACCCAAGCTATCAATCTCACAAGTACATGCATTAATATAAACTAGAGCTTAAAATTGTAATTTGGAGGGTTTCTATTATATAGAATTACATGTTACTTTCATTTTAATTTTTGTCTTTCTCTTTTTTTAGGCCTCCATTTACAGCTTTCAATCAGAAAGAACTGGCTGGGAAGATCAGGGAAGGCAAATTTAGGCGAATTCCATATCGTTACTCTGATGAATTGAATGACATTATTACAAGGATGTTAAATTTACGGGTAAGGAATACAAAAATTGCAAATTATTTTCAGTTAAATTTTGGGGTATCTATTCTTTTGCAGAGAAATATATTTTAAGAAACATTGTATTTCTCTAGCTAAGTCTATATACTGTTAACAAAAGTGAAAACCCAAACCCAGTCACTGCCCAAATCCAGAGTAGAACTGCCCCAGAGGGTTTCCAAGGCTGTGGTCTTTATGGACGTAGACTGTGACATCACTCTTCCTTGGAGTGACTGCTGAACCACGGACCGTTTGGTTGGCAGCTGAGTGCTGTAACTGCTGCACCACCAGGGACCCTTGACACAGTGAAAACATATGGAAATTTGGCACATTGTACATCTTGCTGGCCTACCTTCTGTGCTTTTCTCTCTTTCTCCTCCCACTCTCTGCCCTGCTAACAGATGGTTGGTAGCAAGAAAAGATTGCAGGAAGGATCCAAACTCTCAGTTCCCTGCCCTTGCCTACCTCACAGTGGCAGGTGGTAAGAGAAAGGGCCAGAAATAACACTTTATTACTCCACCTCCAGCTCTGAGAGTTTCGAGACCAGAAAAATGGGGAGTTTAGAAAAAGTGGAGGGAAAATAGCTTCAATAAAGAGATTGGCTATGCGGAAACAATTTGGTCATAGGGTGGGCAGGGAGACGTTTTTGGGATCATGCTGATTTAAGAGGGGAAGGAAATGCTGTCAGATCATCAAGTCAGGTGCAGGTGAAGTAAGAGGATTGAAGGTCAGTGAGAAAGTATCTTGTGTAATGTAGCTTATACATTTTAGGGACCTCTGGTGTGGCACTGTAAGATCAGCACAGGACTGCAAACCACAGGGTCAGCAGTTCAAACCCCCCAGCTGCTCCTTGTAAACTCTATATACAGGGTCACTGTGAGTTGGAGTTAACTCAACAGCACTTAACAACAACAAGAATACATGTTAGAGGAATCCTGAGGCAGGGTAGGATAAGCATTGGACCACAAGATTGGCAATTCAAATTTACCAGTTGCTTCTTGGAAACCCTATATGGGTCTGTATGAGTCAGAAACAACTCCATGGCACTTAACAACATACATGTTAGAAGGAGCCATGGTAGCATAGTGGATTACGAGCTGGGCAGTCTACCAGTTGCTTGGTGGGAGAAAAACGAGGCTCTCTGCTCCGGCAAAGATTAACAGCCTCAGAAACTCTGTGAGTCAAAAGTGACTTGGTGGCACACCACCACCATATGTTAAAACAGTAACCAGTTTCAGTTTCTTTGAGATGATTCCAATTTCTGGAAACCTCTTGTGTGTGCTACACAGGGTTTTGTTTTGTTTTTTTTTTTTTTACAAAATCAAAAGAGAATCTTTATTAAACAAAGTATCAAAATGTGAAGCTATTATTTCTTGACATATCCTCTCTGTAGATATGCACTTCCTCTTTTTTTAATGCTTTATTGTGATTTGGGTGAAGGTTACAAAGTAAGTAAGTTTTCCATTCAACAATTTGTACACATTTTGTTTCATGTCTTCTATTGTAAACCCCACAATGTAACATCACTTTACTCTGAGTTTTCCATTTCCGTTCCTCCTTCTTTCCGAACCCTCCTGAACGTTGCTCTTGGGTAAATGCTGCCCTTGTAATCTCAAATGGTTGATTATTCTAAGGTGTGTTTACCTTACGAGTTCTGTTCCCCTTAGGTTTGTCTGTTGCTTAACTAAAAATTAAGCAACAGGGGTGTCCATAAGATTTTCACTGACTGATTTGAGGTACCTTTGGATACCTCAAAACCTTCCAAGTGTATAACTGCTATCATCACCCAGAGATCTTCTTCCCCTAAAATAAATCTCTGGCAAGTACCAGCACAAGATATTCCAAAGTGCTTCAGAGATTAGGCCCCTGTAGAAAGATCAAAATGTTGAAGGGAGAGGAAAAGTCAAATCTGGATGATTTTGAATTAACCTTGCATTATAGCACTGGTGAACTTATTTTTCCTTTTATGTTCAGGCATCCATAAAGGAGTCTTCTCTTTTGCCCTTGTATGCACCTTTTAATGTAAACTGCTCTCTTGGGTGAGCATTCTGTTCTGAAATCTGGTTGTAACACTGCTTTTTTTTCTTCCAGGATTATCATCGACCATCTGTTGAAGAAATCCTTGAGAACCCTTTGATTGCAGACTTGGTTATGGAAGAGCAAAAAAAAATTCCCGAGAGACGAGGGCGACGATTAGGAGAGTCCCACAGGCTGCAGGATTCCAGCCCTGTCATGAGTGAGCTCAAACTCAAGGAGGTACAGCTACAGGAGCGAGAGCGGGCCCTCAAAGCAAGAGAAGAAAGACTGGAGCGTAAGTCTGAAAGGGCCTCAGTACTGCCCTGAATATTTATTTCAAACAGAATAGTTTATGTGTGTGTACTCAATTAGAACATTCTTAGAAATACTTGAAAAGCTAAACAATGGATTGTAAACTATCAAACGTAAGCTTGTTGGCCCCTTTGTGCTTGGAGAGCCATTGTTAGTCCTTATATTGTTGGGCAATGCCTTTTTATAGCAATTATCCTAGTATAACCATTGTACTTCACTATAGAGTACTTTTTTTTTAAATAGTTTATATGGGAGAACATTACCTTTTCATTTATCCTATTGTGTACATTTCATTGCCATGGTTACAATCCCCTCCAAAGTCCATTATCTTTATTTTTTTAAAGATTTTTATTGTGGATTGAATGAAAGTTTACAGGGCATATCATCAGTTTTACACTCAACAAATCATACACCTTGTTTCATTACAATAATTGTAATCCCCTCCATGTACCATCAATTAACAGTATTTCTCTATATCCACTTTAGCTTTTTAAAAGCAAACAAACAAAAAAACAACTCAGGCATATATAATAATTTACATCTTCAAAGGGCACATTCTGCAAGTCTGCCTCCTGGCCACCAGCTCTTAGTCCCTCTCTTCTTAGTCCATGAATCTAGAGTCCTCAGCCGCTTCCCCTCTCCATCCCCCAATCTCTGCCCCCATGTCTGTCGCTGTTGCTTCTCTGGATAAGGTCCTGCATTTTGCTTGTGCTCTTCTCCCTTGATGGTCCTAGGTCCTCTGTTTCTGGACTGTAAGATTAACCACTCCCGTTTTTGTTACAAAACTTCTGCCTTTACAATTGTGACAGTCACAATTAGTCATGATAACAGTTATTCACTGTTGAATCTTACGAATCTTATCCCCATCTCTTTTCCCCAGACCCATCTAGACAAGATGACAGCTATTCAGTGGGGACTCTTTCTTTCCCCACATACTCTTAAACTCCCTCTTGAAACCTTGTAAGCCAGTCAATTCGTGCCTATATCGCCCCCTCATTTTACGTAGCTGATGTCTAAGTTGCCTGTCCCTATCTACCCTGTGTACAGAGGGGATAGCATTCATCCTTGATGTGAAGACTCTTTCCCTCTCTGTGGTATTTAGAATAACAACCACTCTGACTATAGGTCAGGTTCATCAAATTGTAGCAATTTACCCTTGTTTCCTTTATCAAAAAAAAATTTTTTTTTTCCTCTCTTCCTCTAGTTGAGGTCTGATTACCGAGCCATAGAGGCTAGGTCAAAATGGTACTGTATGCAAGTTTGGGTGTTCTTATGCATGTTCCCTCACTTCATATCACACTGGATGCTTCTCTTTCAGCTCTAGCCTTCTGTGGCTAAGTCCTTGTCCATGGGCTCAAGTGTCCTCAGGTCTCACCACACTTTGGACCAACCAGCCCATCCTCTTCTCTCTCTCATCTCCAGGTCAATAGGATTCAATGGATTTAGGTTGAACTCAGCCCATTTCTTCACTGATGCCTTTCCGCCTTTTCCACTCACCAGTAGACTAATGTGGTCGTCAGCAAGTTTCATGCTTGTTTGTGTATTCCCTTTGAGTTTCAGTCTTAGAAGGGAGTTTGTCCTGAAGGCACTTGATTGCTAGCCTTGATGTCTTCCTGGTGAACAGCTTGCTTATTCTTGTCATAGCCAGTCATGCTGACATTTTTGTTTTGGGTTTTTCCTGATGATCTTTCTTTGAAGATGTATCTTCTGTCACTGTAGCTGTTCCAGTCTGCTTGTCCTTTCTAGTGGGAATGTGCCACTTAATAAGGTTCTGGATGGGACTCAGGATTCCACCTAAGGTCCTATACTCTGTAAAGGCTTTGTACGAGGCCTATTTCACTGGGCAAGTTGTAGACCCCCTTTTAGGTATCCCAATCAGTTAACAGGCTGAAGGCGGCTTATAAGTTTTCTCTAATCATGTTTCCCAACAATCCTTTCTATCCCATTCAAGTGTCTATTTTACAATAGTAGGCAAGGGGAACTAATATGCATAAGACAGTCAAGGATTTTAGTATTATTTACCCTCTTCAAGCTATACCTAGATCCCTGTATCCCAGAGCCCTGTTGTTCCAAGATTGAATATGCATCACTATTTACTTCTGTCCCACTAGGGCATGGAAACCTGTCTCAGTATTTCCCTGTTATTCTTCTGCCTCCTGCCCCTTCTTGTATTGCCCTCCCCAACACCCAAACTAGACCTCCAACCCCCACCCAATTGTGGTTACCTTATATTCCATTAGTTCTACCCTCCATTTCAGAGTCTATTTTATCCTATAACGTACCTGACCTTCCCACCACCTGGATCTCTGTTCCTCTGTGTTTACCTTTTTTCACATTGTAATTGTTTTGATCATAGACTGACCTCCCAGATCCTCTGTTCTTATATTCTATTCTTGATTCTTCCATTTGTCTACTGAGTTCAGGTTGATGCTGCCATGTATGTCATTCTGTAGTTGTTGTGTGTTCTTGTTGGTTCTCAGTCCACAGAACTTCCTTTAGGATGTTTTTCATAGCAGGGTTGGCTTTGGCAAAGTCCTTTAGCTTCTGTTTATCCTGGAATGTTTTTGATTACATACAATATTTGATTGACAGCTTTGTTGAGTAGAGGATTCTTGGATGGCAGTTTTTTTCTTTCAGGGTTTAATATATGTCTCCCTATTGCTTTTTTTTTTAAGTTTTATTGTGAATTATGTGATAGTTTACATGGGAGAATATTAGTTTTACATTCATCCTGTCATATATTCTTTAATTGCCATGGCTACAATCCCCTCCATGCATCACCAACCAACAAAAGGATACATTCTACAAGCCTGCTCCACAACACCCCCCACCCCACCCCCTGCGCCGCCCGGGTCGTCAGCACAGAAGACCTCTCCCTCCCTGGGTCCAGAGTGCCCTGCTGCTCCATCTCTCCAAGTCATCATCTCTTCTTCCATCTCGGGGATCACTGCTTCTCTGGGTAGGGTTATGCTCTCCGCTCTTCTCCCCTCATGGTTCCAGGGACCTCCACTCCTAGCCTGCAACAAGTATTCACCCTTGTATCACAAGAGACCTATCCTCATTTCTTTTCATCAGTCCCGCCTAGACAGATTGGATACTACTCAGTGGAGATTCTACCTTCCTCCACGCTCTCTGGATCTAGGTTCCCTCTTGAAAGCTTGTAAGCCAGTCACTT